ATATATATATATATATATATATATATATATATATATATATATATATCTTCTCATTTGGGTATTCCAGCTATTCAGATGAAGTTTGATGGGGTGTAAACGGCTCTATATATACCAAAGTGGTGATGATACTCTGGAAAACAGCTGAAAGTAACGCTATTCCAAGCGATGTTTCGAGCTTCTAATTGCATGGATATAAACACAGTTTAAAATAACCACTTCACAGCCGTACCACACAAAATGCCATTTAAAAACAGGTTCAAAGACCAATGGTAAAAGTCGAAGAACTAACACTTCAGAAATAATGAGATTGTGTTTTTAAAAGTTAGAGACCATGCTTCAGGGGATGAGCGCGTTACACTAAAACCCAAAACTAGAATTAAGGGCTATTCATGCCCGTGCCACCTCTTAGGTGGCTTAATCTTTATCAATCAAAAACTAGAAATAGTGAAATCTTAGTTCAAAATTGTTATATTTCAATGAATAATTGAGTTGGGAAAAGAAGACTATTGTTGATCAGAGAGAAATATGATAATAAGAAACAAAATCAACGTCGTAGACCTGAATACAAATTTGCAATCAACAAAATAAGCAAAATATAGAACCAAGAAATGTGTGAATGACTAGAAGTGGAAAATCATTAACAAAACATATTATTGTAGAGATGACCAGAACACAGAGAGCGGAATGAGCATCGAACCCGCGTTTAATGAGCATTAAAATAAGCCATATTTGTGTTTGAACTTAATTGCTTGCCTATATTTCCATGGAGAGGAAGCCTCTAAGCTGTTGCGGGAGTCGTCATACAGGGCACTCATGTAAAGCCAATCATGTATTTTATGTAACACTAATTTATTTGATTAAAAAGGTCTTATGACAGTGATTGTATGAATATTATTATGTAGCGTTAACATACACTGGAACACATCAGGAATACAGAACATCAACAAGGTTAGTTCTTCACAGGTGAGACAACACCATAGAACTCTAAGGCATAACAATATAATAAATATAATCTTAAAACATGTATTTATCGAATTCAAGCGTTGATGTGCAACAATTGATGCCTTCAGTTGCAGGTACAGATGTGTATATGTCAATAATATTTCAGAGTTAAGACAGATGAGATGAACCAAGATATCTGTAGATTGGTCCACAGATGACAAGTTGTATTAACAAACGTCCAGATGCAGTCACCTTACAATCATAGGTAGACAGATTGTGTGGGACTACACGTGAGCGTCTACATTTGCTGATACCTATCTACCTCAATACAGATAAGGACGACGGGGCGGCCACCATCAGGAAGACCCAGAAAACTAATAAGTACAGGAACCTAGAACATTATTACTGGTTCGTGCCAATAGGCTCTGAGACCCTGGGCGTCTGGGGTTAAATGTGCACATAACGTTCTAAACGAGGTGGGTGAGGAACTCATGAGGCAAACTAGAGACTAAAGAGCAGCCAGTTTTTTGTTCCAGCGCCTTAGTGTTGCGATCCAGAGAGGAAATGCTTGCTGTACCTTGGCCACCCATCGCACCTAAACAGAGCTGGATGCGGTCTTGGAACAGTGACTGCTATGTGTGTGTGTTTTTTACAAACTGTAACAAAATGTAATAAATATAAATTAAAATAAAAAAAAACATTGTACAAAATAATACAAAAGTAGAGGCTATGGGAGATGAAAATACTCAAGTATTTAGGGAGAATTTATAAGGTCTTCTCTCTGAATACTCTTTATTCTCTTCTCTGAGGCTTTGGGTCCCCACAATTGCACCAGAGGTGGTACTCCTATATATATATATATATATATATATATATATATATATATATATATATATATATATATATATATATATATATATATATATATATATATGAATGAAAACTCACACCCCAAGAAGTGACTCGAACCCATACTCCCAGAAGCAACGCAACTGGTAACTACAGGGCGCCTTAATCCGCTTGACCATCACGGCCGTCAAAAGGAAGTGATAGCCGAGGCTATTTTGACGGCCGTGATGGTCAAGCGGATTAAGGCGCCCTGTAGTTACCAGTTGCGTTGCTTCTGGGAGTATGGGTTCGAGTCACTTCTGGGGTGTGAGTTTTCATTCGCATATAGTCCTGGGGACCATTCAGGCTTGTTCGCATTTGTGTTCCTCACGTGTGCCCCAAAGAATGAGGTGATTTGGTGAAATGCTATGCCCAAGATTACCATCCGAGTTGCCGTCGGGGAAGTGGCTCAAATAGCCTCGGCTATCACTTCCTTTTGACGGCCGTGATGGTCAAGCGGATTAAGGCGCCCTGTAGTTACCAGTTGCGTTGCTTCTGGGAGTATGGGTTCGAGTCACTTCTGGGGTGTGAGTTTTCATTCGCATATAGTCCTGGGGACCATTCAGGCTTGTTCGCATATATATATATATATATATATATATATATAGATATATATATATATATATATATATATATATATATATATATATATATATATATATATATATATATATATATATATATATATAATGTTAAGAGTTCCAGAAATAGATGCGGGCTCATGCTAGCAAACCCGGATCATTAATTGCACCAGAGGAAGCTCTCAACATGGACTGATGCACAACAGGTCTGGTCACCTCTCCATCCACTCACCACAGGAAGTGTTCGCCTGAAGCCGACTTCTCCTGTTCTCTTGCTTCCGGAGGCAGGAGGAGCCAGTGTCGGGTGTGTCTGTGGCTCCGGAGGCAGGGGAGCCAGTGTCGGGTGTGTCTGTGGCTCCGGAGGCAGGGGGAGCCAGTGTCGGGTGTGTCTGTGGCTCCGGAGGCAGGGGGAGTCAGTGTCGGGTGTGTCTGTGGCTCCGGAGGCAGGGGGAGACAGTGTCGGGTGTGTCTGTGGCTCCGGAGGCAGGGGGAGACAGTGTCGGGTGTGTCTGTGGCTCCGGAGGCAGGGGGAGCCAGTGTCGGGTGTGTCTGTGGCTCCGGAGGCAGGGGGAGTCAGTGTCGGGTGTGTCTGTGGCTCCGGGGGCAGGGAGAGCCAGTGTCGGGTGTGTCTGTGGCTCCGGGGGCAGGGAGAGCCAGTGTCGGGTGTGTCTGTGGCTCCGGAGGCAGGGGGAGACAGTGTCGGGTGTGTCTGTGGCTCCGGAGGCATGGGGGAGCCAGTGTCGGGTGTCTGTGGCTTAAAGTTTACTTATGGTTTCATTTTGATGACTTCAGCACTCGTTGTTGCCTTCCTGGGTGTGTCTCTCTCTCTCACGTTGTTGGTCTCATTACTAATCCTCATTCGGGCGGTCCACTCCTTTCCTGAGGCTGGCCATACAGATGTGCTTGCGGACGCACTTGCTGGGGCAACATTTTTGGTCTTGGGCGCAGTACCCGTCAGAAGCACAGCTGGGGAGCCGTTTGGGCTCGCCAGACACAAGCTGCACTGATCCAGAAGTCTTGGCTACCTGCGATAGAAAGATGTAAGATTAGATCAAGTCCTCAGAAGGTAGAGATTCTAAGTTGTTCTTCCGAACTTGACGCGCTGTAAGTTAACTTAGCGTGCGTGTGTTGGGTGCAGAGATCAGCGTGTAAATACGCAGTTAAAATGTCTTAGATGGAAGGAAACTTGTTGGAAGAGAAGCTGGTCTGTTTTTAACAATTCAGTTGGGGATTGGGTGATTATAAATAGGAGCTGCCTCGTATGGGCCAAGAGGCCTTCTGCAGTTACCTTTATTCTTATGGTCTTATTTTTGCAATGTTCAACGTGTCCTTTAAGATTCATCCGCGTACTGTAAGGGCAAATAATTGCACAGAGAAGCAAGCCACCTAACCTAACCTATCCTAGGGCTAACTGTACACAAATTAATATCATATAATCTTTATTTACATATAAAAAGCATTATGAATGCCCAGCTTGATCGATCAATGCTACGGATGGAGTCTCTTCAGGTCCTTAGTAGATAACGTCAACTCAACCAGTAGTCAATGCAAACCGAAATCACAATAGAGTGATGGATCAGTGAGAAAATATTGGAGGAATATGGTGAAACTGAACTCGTGTGTGAGTTCACTATTTGTACCTGCAGAATCGAGCTAGTAGCTGAAAGAGAAAATCAGTAGGAGTCCTGAAGAAGATTCGAACCTGCTCACTTGGTACTCCCAAGCAAGCGCCAACGACCACCAGACCACAACATGGTCCAAGAGCTATTGGATCTTGAACTCGGAGTTCTAATCAATCTATTTTTCCTGTTATGGCTACTACATATATTTTTAGCACACATCCCCAGGAAGCAGCCCATAGCAGCCGTCCAATTCCAAGGTACCTATTCACTGCTAGGTTAACAGGGGCATCAGGTGAAAGACGTTCTGCCCATTTGTTTCCGCCTCGGCCGGAAATTGAACCCCCGCTCTTAGGACTGCGACCCCCGAACGCTGTCCGCTCGGCCGCGAGGCCCTGTACTCACCTAGTTGTGCTTGCGGGAGTTGAACTCTGGCTCTTTGGTCCAGCCTCTCAACTGTCAATCAACTGATGTACAGGTTCCTGACCCTATTGAGCTCTATCATATCTACACTTGAAACTGTGTATGGAGTCAGCCTCCACCACATCACTTCCTAATGCATTCCATTTGTCAACCACTCTGACACTAACAAAGTTCTTTCTAATATCTCTGTGGTTCATTTGGGCACTCAGTTTCCACCTGTGTCCCCTAGTGCGTGTGCCCCGTGTGTTAAATAGTCTGTCTTTATCTACCCTATCAATTCCTTTGAGAATCTTGTATGTGGTGATCTTGTCCCCCCTAACTCTTCTGTCTTCCAGCGACGTGAGGTTTAATTCCCGTAGTCTCTCCTCGTAGATCATACCTTTCAGTTCGGGTACTAGTCTGGAGGCAAACCTTTGAACTTTTTCCAGTTTAATCTTATGCTTGACTATATATAGACTCCATGCTGGATCTGCATACTCCAGGATTGGTCTGACATATGTGGTATACAAAGTTCTGAATGATTCCTTTCACAAGTTTCTCAAGGCCGTTCTTATGTTGGCCAACTGGCATATGCCGCTGATGTTATCCTCTTGATATGGGCTTCAGGGAACAGGTCTGGCGTGATATCATCCCCCATGTCTTTCTCTCTCTCTCTGACTCTTGAAGAATTTCATCTCCAAAATGATACCTTGTATCTGGTCTCTTGCTCCCTACACCTATCTTCATTACATTACATTTGCTTGGGTTAAACTCCAACAAACATTTGTTCGACCATTCCTTCAGTTTGTCCAGGTCTTCTTGAAGCCTCAAGAAGTCCTCCTCTGTTTTAATCCTTCTCATAATTTTGGCATCGTCAACAAACATTGAGAGGAACGAGTCTATACCCTCTGAGACATCATTTACTTATCAGAAACAGGATAGGTCCGAGTAGAGCCTTGTGGGACTCCACTGGTGATTTCACGCCAATCTGAGGCGTGAAGGCAACCCTCACTGTAACTCTCTGCTTCCTATTGCTTAGGTGCTCCCTTATCCACTGGAGCACCTTACCAGTTACTCCTGCCTGTCTCTCCAGCTTTTGTACCAGCCTCTTATGCGGTACTGTGTCAAAGGCTTTCCGACAGTCTGTGTGTGTGTGTGTGTGTGTGTGTGTGTGTACTCACCTAGTTGTGTTTGCGGGGGTTGAGCTCTGGCTCTTTGGTCCCGCCTCTCAACCGTCAATCAACAGGTGTACAGATTCCTGAGCCTATCGGGCTCTGTCATATCTACACTTGAAACTGTGTATGGAGTGAGCCTCCACCACATCACCCCCTAATGCATTCCATTTGTCAACCACTCTGACACTAAAAAAGTTCTTTCTAATATCTCTGTGGCTCATTTGGGCACTCAGTTTCCACCTGTGTCCCCTTGTGCGTGTTCCCCTTGTGTTAAATAGACTGTCTTTATCTACCCTATCAATCCCCTTCAGAATCTTGAATGTGGTGATCATGTCCCCCCTAACTCTTCTGTCTTCCAGCGAAGTGAGGTTTAATTCCCGTAGTCTCTCCTCGTAGCTCATACCTCTCAGCTCGGGTACTAGTCTGGTGGCAAACCTTTGAACCTTTTCCAGTTTAGTCTTATCCTTGACTAGATATGGACTCCATGCTGGGGCTGCATACTCCAGGATTGGCCTGACATATGTGGTATACAAAGTTCTGAATGATTCTTTACACAAGTTTCTGAATGCCGTTCGTATGTTGGCCAGCCTGGCATATGCCGCTGATGTTATCCGCTTGATATGTGCTGCAGGAGACAGGTCTGGCGTGATATCAACCCCCAAGTCTTTTTCCTTCTCTGACTCCTGAAGAATTTCCTCTCCCAGATGATACCTTGTATCTGGCCTCCTGCTCCCTACACCTATCTTCATTACATTACATTTGGTTGGGTTAAACTCTAACAACCATTTGTTCGACCATTCCTTCAGCTTGTCTAGGTCTTCTTGAAGCCTCAAACAGTCCTCTTCTGTTTTAATCCTTCTCATAATTTTAGCATCGTCCGCAAACATTGAGAGAAATGAATCGATACCCTCCGGGAGATCATTTACATATATCAGAAACAAGATAGGACCGAGTACAGAGCCCTGTGGGACTCCACTGGTGACTTCACGCCAATCGGAGGTCTCACCCCTCACCGTAACTCTCTGCTTCCTATTACTTAGATACTCCCTTATCCACTGGAGCACCTTACCAGCTACACCTGCCTGTCTCTCCAGCTTATGTACCAGCCTCTTATGCGGTACTGTGTCAAAGGCTTTCCGACAATCCAAGAAAATGCAGTCCGCCCAGCCCTCTCTTTCTTGCTTAATCTGTGTCACCTGATCGTAGAATTCTATCAAGCCTGTAAGGCAAGATTTACCCTCCCTGAATCCATGTTGGCGATTTATCACGAAGTCCCTTCTCTCCAGATGTGTTACCAGGTTTTTTCTCACGATCTTCTCCATCACCTTGCATGGAATACAAGTCAAGGACACTGGTCTGTAGTTCAGTGCCTCTTGTCTGTCGCCCTTTTTGTATATTGGGACCACATTCGCCGTCTTCCATATTTCTGGTAGGTCTCCCGTCTCTAGTGATTTACTATACACTGTGTGTGTGTGTGTGTGTGTGTGTGTGTGTGTGTGTGTGTGTGTGTGTGTGTGTGTGTGTGTGTGTGTGTGTGTGTGTGTGTGTGTGTGTACCTGTCTTGTTATCTCTCTTTGTGCATGTCACTCTTATTACCTGTGTGTGTGTGTGTGTGTGTGTGTGTGTGTGTGTGTGTGTGTGTGTGTGTGTGTGTGTGTGTGTGTGTGTGTGTGTGTGTGTGTGTGTGTGTGTGTGTGTGTACCTGTCTTGTTATCTCTCTATGTGCATGTCACTCTTATTACGTGTGTGTGTGTGTGTGTGTGTGTGTGTGTGTGTGTGTAGCTCTCATATCTACAGTGTGCAAGAGCACTTTGGCAAATCAACTTTGCTTAATGGAGATCTCTCGCACACAGTCCTTTTCAACAACATTTTGCACATGTGATTATTTTTTTAATAGTTTTTGCTTGGTCTCTGGCACGGAGAGGCGGACTGTCGGGGGCTTTAAGTGACGTCTGACCAAGAACACCACTTATTGGCTGACAAGTTCGGAGTGCTGACTCTTGCAATAATAATTAAGTCTTCGGGTTTGGCTGCCGAGTCCTCAGAAATAAATAATACAGATTCACTGACGATGACGAGGAGTATTTAAAACGTCTTAACAATTCCAAAAATTGAAACAAGCAGTTGGATGGTTTTTGTAACTGTTATCCTGTTATCCTTCAATTGATGAGGAGAAATTACTGAAAAAACATGTTAGCTTTCACCTGGTCATCTTGACTGACACAATATGGTCGACAAATACAGGACGGAATGCAACTGTATCACTAAAGCTGTATTCTTAACAGCGTGCAACTCGAGTGAGGACGCTTGAGTGTTCCCTCAAGTGTTAGGTCTGGTTGCACACTCAACCTCATCCCGTTGTCACACTTGGAATGAAGTGTCTTTATGCTTACTTCAGAGGTTGTCACACTTGGAATAAAGTGTCTTAATAGCCTTCAAAATCCTTTTGAAAAATACAGTGTCTAGTACTGTCTTCAAACAGTAGTCAATATCATACAAAGTATTAATGTGACAACTGCCTACATGATTCATACAACTATATATTTAATTGTATATTACACTTACATGCCTAAAAAACATTGTTTTCGGAGGGGCGTGGGACGCCTTTGTTCGTATTGTACTATACAATAGATATTGTATCTGAATTTACGTGAATTTCATTTTATACAAATCATTGAAGAAACAGTGTTGCGTATACATACACATGTATGAAAACTTCAGATAGTTTATACAATTATTGCTTAAAATACTATTTGAATTTGCATATTGATTTGTATATTGCTTACAATACTATTTTAATTTGCATATTGATTTGTATATTGCTTAAAATACTTTTAATATAAATAATAATAATGATAATAATAGAATACACAGAGTATTTTAATTCATAATGATGTCAGCAGTATCAGCCTGAGTCAGATAATGATGGAGTTGGTGCGGCTGACTTCAGCTGACGTCCAGAGGATGGCAGCTACTGACTTTTACAACAATTATCAAACAATGTGACTTCCACGTGACGCGTCGACTTTTAGCACTCTCCTGATGGCTTGTCACTGATATCTACACATTTTGTCTTGTTTTCAGAGACCTTTTTTTTCTTGTAATTGGTAACATCTCTATTTTAAAAGAGTGTTTTCGCTCTCACGACAGTTTATGCCATCGCTCGAGACGAGGAAGTTGGGTTTAGTTTGGGAGAATAGTTTAATTAGAAACAAAAATTGGTAGATTGTTTATGACTAAGGTGGAAGGAGAGGCCCAGTACATGCTCTTGAACAAGGTGCTAAGGATCCTTTAACTAGGTGCTAAGGCTTTAGCAAGGTTCCTTTAACTAGGTGCTAAGGCTTTAACAAGGATCCTTTAACTAGGTGCTAAGGCTTTAACAAGGATCCTTTAACTAGGTGCTAAGGCTTTAGCAATCCTTTAACTAGGTGCTAAGGCTTTAACAAGGATCCTTTAACTAGGTGCTAAGGCTTTAACAAGGATCCTTTAACTAGGTGCTAAGGCTTTAACAAGGTTCCTTTAACAAGGTGCTAAGGCTTTAACAAGGTTCCTTTAAGAAGGTGCTAAGACTTTAACAAGGATCCTTTAACTAGGTGCTAAGACTTTAACAAGGTTCCTTTAACAAGGTACTGTCAAACCGTGTTCAATATTACACTGACTCATATATTAGATCTTTCCTTCGCCTTCATTCAAATACCAGAGAAGTGTGGTAAGTTTCTCCACCGTTTAGACCATCACGATTCATCATAGCAGTACAATAGCGTTCTTTGTGAGCCATACCTACGCACCAGCAGCATGAAGAGTTGCATAAATAGTTGATCGTATTACACCGTCTTGGGGGATTGTTAGGTACGCGTTTCTCAGCACCATATAATGGAAAATTGTATGATTTCAGTGATTGTAACTCTGTATAGCACCGGGAGGATACACACACACACACACACACACACACACACACACACACACACACACACACACACACACACACACACACACACACATACACAGTTTTAAGTGTAGATATGATTGAGCCCAATAGGCTCAGGAACCTGTACACCTGTTGATTGACGGTTGAGAGGCGGGACCAAAGAGCCAGAGCTCAGCCCCCGCAAGCACAACTAGATGAGTACAACTAGGTGAGTACACACACACACACACACACACACACACACACACACACGTGTACTTACCTTCGCCTTCTTAGTGACGAGGAAGATGCCATTGCTCTTGCACACCTGATCTTCCTCCTCAGGGCAACGACCCTCATGCGAGTCGTGGCTCGTCGGAACTGAAACAAAGGGCACGACCCTCAGTCACTGTGGCTTTAATATTGTCAAGCAGGGAGTGCTCCCCAGGGGTCGGTCCGTCTGACGCCTGAGGTTCAAGTACGTTGATTGACACAATACAATACATCTCAAAAGGGATAGAGTAGCTTAGGCTATTTCTCCTTGGCTCCTGAAGTGATGATAAGGGGGAAGGAAGAGGATATAGTTGTGCTTAATGAGATAGTTCGAGACACAACTGCCTTGTTAGGCACAATAAGGAGTTGTGAGTAATAAGAAGTTATAAAACGTGATCAAAATGTGAGACACAGATTGTAGGACTGAAGGGATTCGGGAATTGGCACTAAGACACAGGACTTAATTGAGCAACCAAAACTTTGCGTCCTAGTTATAAATTCAGTATATCAAATAAAATGCGAAACTAAAATCAAGCGTTCGAGTAATTGTATGCGAGGCTCTGAGACGTTGGGAACTTCTTCTTGGCAATTTCAGATGAAAATATAACCACCTGTCTCCCAAACATTTGTAGGTGTTGACAAGATTTCTGGGGTTGGAGAATGGCAGAGGTGTGCCATTAGATGCCCCAGGTATCCGGAGAGACCTGGGGCATCCGGAGAGACAGATGTGTTGTGAGGGGTAGGGGCATGGGTAAGGGAGGGGTAAGGGGTTTTATTAGGGGGTGATGGGTAAGGGGAGGTGTGGATAGGTGAGGTGTGGAATGGTAAGGAGGGAGCAGGAGTGAGGTGTGGTACTCACTTGGCATCGAACTGTCGGCACAGCAGTAGACATCACCGTGGTAGACACAGTAGTAATAACAGTTACTGGGGGAACCATCTGTTGGAGAGATAAATCTATTAAAATGTATACTATTCATATGTACATGTGTATATGTGTGCTGTATTATGTATGTTTGAGACACGTATCCTCCTCCTAGGTGACGTGCCAAGTCCACCTCATGTCTCACGATGTTTGAGTCATGTCTTCTTGAGTCAAAAACGCCTCGAATCGAATTGTAAGTTCCAATGTTTAAAAAAAAACTAACGTCTTTTCTCCATTACAAAAAATAATATTTGGATTCAAAATCTAGCCTGAAGTTTCTAAGAGTCAAAACGAGAGCGGTAAATTTTCTTCACAATGACTGCTTGAGTAGGAAAAGACGACTCAAGTTTTATAAAAAGTTGAAATTGGGAAATATGTTGATGTTTATGTTAAAAAATAAAAGATGTATATTTCAAGCTGACGAAAAGCAAACTTAACATTTTATGAAGTTGTGTGTGTGTGTGTGTGTGTGTGTGTGTGTGTGTGTGTGTGTGTGTGTGTGTGTGTGTGTGTGTGTGTGTGTGTGTGTGTGTGTGTACTCACCTATATGTACTCACCTATATGTGCTTGCAGGATCGAGCATTGACTCTTGGATCCCGCCTTTCTAGCTATCGGTTGTTTACAGCAATGACTCCTGTCCCATTTCCCTATCATACCTAGTTTTAAAAGTATGAATAGTATTTGCTTCCACAACCTGTTCCCCAAGTGCATTCCATTTTTCTACTACTCTCACGCTAAAAGAAAACTTCCTAACATCTCTGTGACTCATCTGAGTTTCCAGTTTCCACCCATGTCCCCTCGTTCTGTTATTATTACGTGTGAACATTTGATCTATTTCCACTTTGTCAATCCCCCTGAGTATTTTATATGTCCCTATCATATCTCCTCTCTCCCTTCTTTTCTCTAGTGTCGTAAGGTTCAGTTCCTTCAGCCGCTCTTCATATCCCATCCCTCGTAGCTCTGGGACAAGCCTCGTCGCAAACCTCTGAACCTTCTCCAGTTTCTTTATGTGTTTCTTCAGGTGGGGGCTCCATGATGGCGCGGCATACTCTAAGACGGGTCTCACGTAGGCAGTGTAAAGCGCCCTAAAAGCTTCCTCATTTAGGTTTCTGTGTGTGTGTGTGTGTGTGTGTGTGTGTGTGTGTGTGTGTGTGTGTGTGAGTCAGGTATTTTGGGTGTCTAGGTTGTGACAATTAGCATAGAATAAAACCAATTTTCGTCTTTATATCAATAACAGAGGATAAGACAAGGAAGGGAATTATCAGGGGGGGAAAGCGCCAAGCCATTACGACTATATAGCACTGGCAAAAGGGGTCAGGATAAGGATTTGGGATTGAAGGAATGGTGCCCAACCACCTGGACGGTCGGGGATTGAACGCCGACCTGCATGAAGCGAGATCATCGCTCTACTGTCCAGGGAGAAAATAAATCGCAATTTACCGAAACTTAAATTTACCGAAACATCAATTTATCGAGACATCAATTTACCGAGACATCAATTTACCGAGACATCAATTTACCGAGACATCAATGTACCGAGACATCAATTTACCGAGACATCAATGTACCGAGACATCAATTTACCGAGACATCAATTTATCGAAACTTAAATTTACCGAAACATCAATTTACCGAGACATCAATTTACCGAGACATCAATTTATCGAGACATCAATTTACCGAGACATCAATTTACCGAGACATCAATTTACCGAGACATCAATTTACCGAGACATCAATTTACCGAGACATCAATGTATTGAGACATCAGTTTACTAAAATGATGATAAAAGCATTTTGCTTCACGTTTATAAGACTACAAATGCGTATCAATTTAGACGCTATCGAAAAATACGGTGTCCCAAAAATTGACACTTCCGCGGAATTTGTTTCTGTACGAATTATTAAACAAACGAACATCGGTCATGTTGGATTACGCGAGTTTTCCAAGGGTTCGTACGCCTATGCCTCGGTCAAACCGCTGGAAAACTCGGTCAAAGCGCTCTAAAACTCGGTCAAAGCGCTGGAAAACTCGGTCAAAGCGCTGGAAAACTCGGTCAAAGCGCTGGAAAACTCGGTCAAAGCGCTGGAAAACTCGGTCAAAGCGCTGGAAAACTCGGTCAAAGCGCTGGAAAACTCGGTCAAACCGCTGGAAAACTCGGTCAAAGCGCTGGAAAACTCGGTCAAAGCGCTGGAAAACTCGGTCAAAGCGCTGGAAAACTCGGTCAAAGCGCTGGAAAACTCGGTCAAACCGCTGGAAAACTCGGTCAAACCGCTGGAAAACTCGGTCAAAGCGCTGGAAAACTCGGTCAAAGCGCTGGAAAACTCGGTCAAAGCGCTCTAAAACTCGGTCAAAGCGCTCTAAAACTCGGTCAAAGCGCTGGAAAACTCGGTCAAAGCGCTGGAAAACTCGGTCAAAGCGCTGGAGAACTCCGTCAAACCGCTGGAAAACTCGGTCAAAGCGCTGGAAAACTCGGTCAAAGTGCTGGAAAACTCGGTCAAAGCGCTGGAAAACTCGGTCAAACCGCTGGAAAACTCGGTCAAAGCGCTCTAAAACTCGGTCAAAGCGCTGGAAATTTGACGTTTGGAAAACCTTTTCGATCGGGCGAACGGACTGGCTTGAAGGGTAATGTTAAGTGAAGGAACAGAACATCATGTAGTTATCTTATGAAGGATGATCGCGAGGAGATGATTAGGAGAGGGAGAGGGGAGAGAGGTGTGGGAGAAGGGAGAGGTGTGGGAGAGGGGAGAGAGGTGTGGGAGAAGGGAGAGGTGTGGGAGAGGGGAAAATTTTGGGTTAGAGTAGCTTTTACGACTTAATTTTCTAGACAATTTCATTAAAAAATTGCTTAGCTTAAAAATGTTCTTGTATAACAAGAGTAACAGGGATCAATCCAATGCACCAAGAGTGCCAGAGACCCATCCTAGGTAACAAGAGGATTACAGGGACCCGCTATGTACACCAAGAGCATTAGAGACCCATTCTGTACACCTGGAGTATTAGGGGCCGTCCTGAAGGCCCCTGAACCAGAGACATAAAGAAGGCTCACTGAACATGTACACAGAGAGAGGTGTACACCTGGTTTTCGGTGAATATACACTGAGAATTCACTTTATTCCAGAATAATGTTCAAAAGTAAAGTATACTTTCTGTTTGGTCAGTAACGCACACTTTCTGTTTAATCAGTAAAGCTATTGACCTTAATTACCCTCCTGGGGCCAGATTCACGAAAGCACTTACGAACCTGTACATCTTTTCTCAATCTTTAGCGGCTTTGCTTCCACTTATTAAACAGTTAATGAGCTCCGAAGCACCAGGAGGCTGTTTATAACAATAACAACAGTTGATTGGCAAGTTTTAATGCTTGTAAACAGTTTAATAAATGTAACCAAAGCCGTCAAAGATTGAGAAAAGATGTACACGTTCGTAAGGGTTAGCGTAAGTGCTTTCGTGAATCTGGCCCCAGGGGTTGATGAGCCTTAATCCCAAATACCAAGTTAAAAAATGTTCACCATTACGTTCAAAGTTCAACCAGAACAAATTACCCACATGCCAAGTCCCAGAACAGAGAGTTCACATTAAAATTCACCTGGTACAAAAAGAGTCAAATAGGAATTACATTTTTGTATGCAAAGTTCACACACGGCAAATATGACCAACTTTGCAAACGATGCCAAGACTTATAATTGTAACTAATTGAAGTTCCAGCTAATTTGCGATTTCATGGATGAGTTCTTAAATGCAATTTGCTAAAAAAAACAATTATAAATGTAATTATTGTTTTAATGTTGTTTCAAGCGACGTTGTTTAGGATTTCTTGAATATAAATGACTCTTAGGATGTTGATTAGTTGATGTACTGATGAGCTAGAATAGTAAATACACAAAATCGCAATAAAACGAGAAGTCTTTATAGAAATTTGTATTATATCCGTACCTTTATTTATGTCTTACCACTGACGGGTGATATCTCAAGATATTCGCTATAGTCATTGGCGTTAGATATCTGGTATATGGGTGACAGTTACAGCATCACGTGATATACACACGTGTATAAGGTGTATATCACGTGATATACACACTCCTCTCGTCCCCCGTTTGTTCTTCTCAAGAACGTTCTCTGTTCATTGTTTGCTACTTGTTCAAGAGCATAAATTGGATATGTGTGGATACAGGAATGATCTGGGGAAAATACTGGTTTGGAAATAGTAGTAGCTGATCTATGGGGCACTTTAAGAGAGGGGAACATAATAGATATGGGAACAATTGATTGTTTCAAGCGTAGGATAGACATATATATATATATATATATATATATATATATATATATATATATATATATATATATATATATATATATATATATATATATATATATATATATATATATATATATATATATATATATATATATATATATATATATATATATATATATATATATATATATATATATATATATGAATGTGGCTGTGTGGATATAAATAGGAGCTACTTCTTATAGACCAATAGATGCTCTCTCTCTTGTTACCTTCTAGTTTTATAATTAACAAAGAGCATAATGTATTCACTGTTACAGAATACTTTTATGTCAAGTTAAGAGCTCACAGTTTTCGCTGATATAATTGACATACCCAGTAAAGAGAATGTTTCATTCGTGTGTACATCAAACTAATATCCCGATGCTCTTGCCATTATGGTCAAGGGTTTTCTGTCCTGCAAAGTGTATGATATACTCGGTGCTGCATATTGCTTTCCCCAGAATCCCCCAACATGCTTACTGGAGTATGTTGACCAGACCACACACTAGAAGTTGAAGGGACGACGACGTTTCGGTCTGTCCTGGACCATTCTCAAGTCGTCCAGGACGGACCGAAACGTCGTCGTCCCTTCAACTTCTAGTGTGTGGTCTGGTCAACATACTTCAGCCACGTTATTGTGATTCATCGCCTGCATGCTTACTGGAATAGCTTGCAGCAGTTCAATAGCATGCACGCTGCGATAGTATGAGTGCTGGAATAGAATTGAGCTAGAGTGTCATGCAGGATGTTAACATTTGCTTCATCTTACCACTTGTAAGTGCTGCTGCTGCTGCTTCATTTTCGCCATTTTTTTCTGGAAAAAAGTGTGGCTGTTTAATACAGAATGAGAAATGCTTTCTATCTTGGAGCTCTGAAGATAAATTGAGTAAGAAAGCTGTAGGAAAGAGCTCTGCAGAAAGAATTCTTGGGTCGAGCCTCCCCTCAACCCAAGCTCACCAATGAACTTCCAAATGACACTTTATTTTAGAAAGCACTTTACTAAAAGACCTAATGTTGTTATACATCACAGGTGCTGAGTACAGCCATCGGAAAACCACCGTTTGTCCTGTTTATAGACATGATTACTACAGTGTGGTTAGTGACAGGGCTTCCTTCAGTCTAACTGGGTGTTATTCAGTTACCTGGTGATGTATCATCCTAGGACGTTATGACCTATCATGTGGTGACCTTTACTCAGCACACTCTGACCGGCTTAACGACTATATTCCCCGTCCGACCATTGAGAATCTACAGCAAGATTGCCCAATTCCTAAGACTTGCTAACACTTCATCTCGCTTCATTATGTATGGTTTATATATTGGCAAAAATAACACACTTTAGTTTGTTATTTTTTTTAACTTCCCAGGAAGATACAAAAACTATATAGAAGATTCGTGCTAGACTCATTGGGTCATTTTCAATAACCGACACGCATCTCATATATATATATATATATATATATATATATATATATATATATATATATATATATATATATATATATATATATATATATATATATATATATATATATATATATACATACATAAACATGTGTTGTCCAACAACAGCTGTTTGCCCCTTTTCCAGGGGAATATTGTGATGCCATCGGTGCTAAGCGCGGGATCGTCTCGGTTTTGGGCTGTTAGTGTGCGAGGTTCTCTCTCTGCTGGGCACTGAGCTGAGCCAAGGCTTCTCAAGATGATGTCGTTAACTTCATTGTGTCTTGCGTGCCAGTCCTTGGAGCTCCCGCAGTGTCTATATTGCTCTGCTACCACCTTGTTGCAAATACACTTGTATTTAGTGTGAATTGGGGCTCCAAGGTAGAGGGCCACTGTTACATGGAGGGCCTCTGGATCTAGACGTGTGCATTTGGCAGACATGGGTACTGCCAAAAAAATTCCCATGCATGGGGGGCACGCACTGCGTTGAAGCGGGCTTTCTCCTTATCTGATGTTGCAACGATGAGCATGACATGAACTATTTCTTCCACTACTGGGAAAAAAGTCCCAGAAGAACTGTTTGTGTTTTTATTATTATTATCTCTAGCGTCCATATGGAGCAGTCAACATACGCAGCATGAAAATAATTTATTACCAAGACTGCAATGTTTGTATGGGGATAGACTTTAGGTAATGGCAGCTCAATGAACATAAAATCACTGTGAAAAGCACATTGTTTAAACCCCAGCATATAAAAAAACAAATGCAAGGAGATAGGACTCACCTTCATGCGTGTGGTTCCCCTCATCACAACACTCATAGGAGCTGGAGTCCGGAATCTTGCACCAGTACTTGCAGGCGGTGGCAGACCCAGCCACAGCCGTCAACAGCAAGAGTAACAAACCGCTCTGCATCATTGCTTGCTTCTGCAACAAGGAGACATCGTCCGTGTGAACATTAGATGCCACAATTCTACCAGGAATTTCCCTAGTGGCTAGGAAATTACCGCGTAACATGGTGGAGGTGGGGTCCCTCGATTGTTTCAAGCGTGGGTTGAACATGTATATGAGTGGGATTGGGTGGTTATAAATAAAAGTTGCCTCGTATGGGCCAATAGACCTTCTGCAGTTACCTTGTTCTTATGTTCTTATGTAAAAAAAAGGTGTTTATCCCCCTGTGTGAAAGAGTACTGATAATGGAGGTGGGGATTTGGGATGGGACTGGAGGGAAGGAATGGCGGCCAGCCACTTAGATGGTCGGGGATTGAACGCTGACCTACATGAAGCGAGACCGTCGCTCTACCGTTCAGATCAAGTGGTTGGTTACACTGATAATGGAGAATTGGATCCCACAAGTCGTCAACAGTGTGTGTGTGAGATCACCACCAGTGATGGCAGATGAAGAGTTTAACAGATATCAGCACAGATTATGAGATGTTGATGTACATTAGTGTACAGTGATGTACATCCATGCACATGGATAGCATATACGAGTGGTTATATAATGTGAAAACCATGAGGAAGGTGGATGTGGCAGATGTACTAAGACATTGTTAAAGCAGACATATATATTTCCATATAACTGGTGGACAGGAGTTATAGCTTTACTTAATATGGCTATCAATAACTAAACAATATGCAGACGAGGAGTCACAATAACGTGATTGAAATGTGTTGACCAGACCACACACTAGAAAGTGAAGGGACGACGACGTTTCGGTCCGTCCTGGACCATTCTCAAGTCGATTGTGACTTGAGAATTGTCCAGGACGGACCGAAACGTCGTCGTCCCTTCACTTTCTAGCGTGTGGTTTGGTCAACTAAACAATAACATTACAAACGAAAAAAAAAAAAAAGATATGACATAAAAACTGTGTATTTTCTTGTGTCTTACGAACTAAAGAAACACTTCACAATCACCGTTTGTTTTGCCATCAAAGACAAACACAACACTGAAAGTTGTTTTGGTAATTCTAGAGCTGATGCCAAGTCAATGCAAGATGCCAAGTCAATGCAAGATGCCAAGTCAATGCAAGATGCCAAGTCAATGCAAGATAACAGACTTAACCTCGGAACACATTGCTGCCACACTGGCCGCCCTCTACTCGTACCTATGTAGCGAGGACTTAAGGTCTGTTTCCCTGTGCCTCTGGGGCACCAACCTCACCCCCTTCCCCTCCCCCGTTAACGAGCCGGAAAGGCAATACGTTTGGGCTCATAACTCCCCCAAGAGGCATCAGACCAGCCAGATGATTGACTTAACCACAGGACGTCGGGAAGGTGAGGTTAGGACGCAGCCACCACCCAAGAACAGGAAAGGCAAATGACAATCAGAAGAACAAATGGGTAAGTTTGGTCTGATGGGGAAGATTTTCTGAGTGTATATACCTGTCTCACAAGCATATTGATTCAGAGGAATCTTGAGTTATACTTTTCAAATTGGAACCACACTAGAAAGGATAAGAAATGTAATGTTAGTTGATAATAGTGATTCGATTAAGCAGGTTGTTAAGGCGTAATGTCTACCCCACAATAGGAACAATTGGAAGAGATAAAACGGTTGAACCATTAAGAACGAACCATTCTCATAGACCATTATAATGGACCATTCTCATTGCCCACTCTCATGAATGGTATAATGAGAGCAAAGATGTGGACCCCAGGTGACGCCATCTTGCTAGTACAGCAGTTATCTTGCTTTCCCTTCCCTTGCCTCTGAAGGTTGCCACAGAGGCAACTTGTGTCAGTTATAAAGCCACTTGTGTCAGTTATAAAGCCACTTGTGTCATTGTTATAGAGCCACGTGGCACTCTTTTCCGTGAAGCCAATTCCGACCCTTCGATGTTGGACACACACCCAACAGGAATTACTGAGAAAACTGGGGGAAGTTTTCCTCAACTGACATGCCTCTAACCTTGACGGTTAGAGGCATGTCTCTCTAACGACAGACAGAATGACAGATATTTCCATTTGTTGTTATAGATATATGAAACTCAGTGGTTTACCCGGCTGCACCCGGGTCTCTCTCTCTCTCTCTCTCTCTCTCTCTCTCTCTCTCTCTCTCTCTCTCTCTCTCTCTCTCTCTCTCTCTCTCTCTCTCTCTCTCTCTCTCTCTCTCTCTCTCTCTTTCTCTCTAATTTTAATACTGGACTATGGAGAAATTTGAAAACTGCTTACAATCTACGGAAAACACATCAGCGATTTCATTTCAGTATTCATGAAAATCGCAGAGAGGGTCGATAAAGATGCCGATATTTTGTAAACAGTGGCACTTAGACCGACCCCAACTAGCCCATGCCACTCCCATACCACTCATGTTTCAAGTTGCAAAGTCAGGTGAGGCTAGCCCAAGACCTCTGGCCTCTCTGAACAGATAAGACTTTTTATTGTATTGATATAGAGGGATTCCTCTTGGATTAGCTTCTGCTGACATTCTGGAGAAATGGAGCTCTTAACCTGTGAACGTTCGTGAATTATCACTTAGATAGTAGACTTAAGATGACGGGGAAGATCAGACACACAGAGCACCTCGCTTGGCTGCCGCCTTAATTATTTAAGTGTTGGGCTAAAGGTTAAGCAATACTCTCTCTCTCTCTCCACTGCTCCTAATCGCTTCATTAGCATTAATAGCCTCATTTCAGCCGTGATCCGAACCCCTGTTCGGGGTTAAACATTGAACTCAAAAAATGTCAACACAAATGACCAATTATAGGCTAAGGGGGGTGAGAGGAGGGAGGGGATTGGTCACCCCAGCCTCTCCCATAAGTGGAACCAGTTTCTACTACATATAAAAACACGACTAGACACAGATATTGAGAAATATAGATATACTCGCCTCTCTGTTACGTAAAAATAACTATGTTTAGATTTAGTCTTTATTGTGTTTCTATGTAAACAAAAATAATTCCTGAAAGTTGTTAGCATATCAAATATTTATTTTGCCCAAATTGAGGTATGGACATGCGACAGTTCTTGCTTTTGACAGAATAGTAATTACTTGTTGTAAATTAAAACTCTCGCTGTCAATAGTCATTACGGGAGCGGAGAGGCGATCGCCATCATTTTGGTAATTGGAGCAACTTTATAACGAAGCTGTCAAGCTTGTTGACCGAGGTCCCCAGCTTAGAGCCAGAACTGTCAAGCTCGTTGACCGAGGTCCCCAGCTTAGAGCCAGAACCGTCAAGCTTGTTGACCGAGGTTCCCAGCTTAGAGCTAGAACTGTCAAGCTTGTTGACCGAGGTTCCCAGCTTAGAGCCAGAACCGTCAAGCTTGTTGACCGAGGTTCCCAGCTTAGAGTCAGAACTGTCAAGCTTGTTAACCGAGGTCCGCAGCTTAGAGCTAGAACTGTCAAGCTTGTTGACCGAGGTCCCCCAGCTTAGAGCCAGAACCGTCAAGCTTGTTGACCGAGGTTCCCAGCTTAGAGTCAGAACTGTCAAGCTTGTTGACCGAGGTCCCCAGCTTAGAGCCAGAACTGTCAAGATTATTGACCGAGGTCCCCAGCTTAGAGCCAGAACTGTCAAGCCAGCAAGCCAGTTGACCGGGGTCTCCAGCTTAGAGCCAGAACCGTCAAGCAGCGGTGCTGAAAGCTGTCAAGACTGTGAACATGTACTTGCCCATTATGTTTATAAAAGGTCGGACTTCAGCGCTTGGTCCCCTGCTTCTCCAGTCATCAGTCGTCCAATGCAATGACGACCTGCTGCTTCCTGCTTGTCTAGTACAAAAGTGATCATGTGTACAAGTGTACAGGGAACAAGATATCAGGTCGTTCCGGTACACCAGCTCAGAGCAGTCACAGGTTAAACCGGTTTTTGAGCTTAGCGCTATCACTCCTTCCAAACCTGCTATCAACTGCCCAGTGTCTAGGCACCAGTGCCTCTCACCCTCCACCAGTGCCTTTCATTCTTATGAGCAGTGGCACCTGAGGGCCACCATCTTTCTGGTGGCCTTGACGTGGACAGGAAGCTGGCGGCTTGTCAATGGCCCCCCCCCCTCATTCGTCCTGATGATATTATATATATTTATATATATAAATGCATCTGAAAACTTCACACTCCAGAAGGATTCGAACCCAGACAGCCAGGGTTCTCACGGCTGTCTGGGTTCTCCCATTGTGCTCCTGGTTGTCTGGGTTCGAATCCCTCTGGGGTGTGGAATTTTCAGTTGCATATATGCTTGGGGACCATTCAAGCTTGTTCGCATATATATATATATATATATATATATATATATATATATATATATATATATATATATATATATATATATATATATATATATATATATATATATATATATTATATATTATATATATATATATATATATATATATATATATATATATATATATATATATATATATATATATATATATATATATATATATATATATAACTGAAAACTCACACCCCAGAAGTGACTCGAACCCATACTACCAGGAGCACTCTGCTGGCGTACAAGATCCCTTAACCGCTCGACCAACATATAGTTGCATATAGTCCTGGGAACCATTCAGCCTTGTTCGCATATATATATATATATATATATATATATATATATATATATATATATATATATATATATATATATATGTATATATATATATATATATATATATACATATATATATATATAGAAAACATAAAAATATATATAGTGCAATTGTAGGGACCCATAAGTCTCGGAGAAGAGAATAAAGAGTATTCAGAGAAAAACTTGCTGTTTGTCTCTAAAAATGGTTATATATATATATATATATATATATATATATATATATATATATATATATATATATATATATATATATATATATATATATATATATATATATATATATATATATATATATATATATATATATATATATATATATATATATATATATATATATTTCTATATCTGCATAATGTAACCACTGAACACACTAGGAG